GGCCCCCACCCTTTAGAGGCTGCCGGGCGCCAGGGGGCGTGGCCGTTCGCCTGCTGGGCGCCATGCGCCCGGGGCGTGAGCAGCCAATTCGCGGCGCTCCTGGGGCTGGTGTCTGGCTCCGGCTCTATGCATGCACCACGTGCCCGGGGCCAGGCCAGCTCCGAGCACTTGGCGGGTGCACACAAATGGTCCCGCGGGCGCCATGGCACCCGTGGGCACCGGGTTGGGGACCACTGATGTAGACGACTACACAGTTAACAGATAAACCTGGGCTTTTCGGTTAATCTTGTTTACTACATGCACCTCCCCCTTGTTGCCATGAGTGCTGCTGCAGCCACATTGCTATTTTCAGCATGCTATTTTCAGCATGCTATTTTCAGCATACCTTGAGCAGAATTAGCCCCTGTCTGTTTATTTGCACTGGTAAGCATGCTCCCAGCTTTTGTGTGGACCAACCCCATAGGGACTGAGTGACTCCACACGGCTTACTCAGGCAAAACTGCAAGAACAATCCCAGGGTTTGATTCTGCAAAATGCTGAGCCCTCTGACCCTGATCCCACAGAGAATTGCACTTTCTTAATTTAACCAGTGTCCTTTGTTTCAATGGGGCTACTGTAGGTTTAAAGTTAAGAATGTGCTGGAGCAAATCCCACAGAGGAGATATTATATACAAATAGTTGGTACAGGAATCAATTAAACTAAAACTAAAAACAGTTCCTAAAAGTGAGAATATTGAATGGCAAGAGACCCAGAAGATCTGAAGACAAATGTAGCTTGAAAGCTTCTCTCTCTCATTAACAGAAGTTGATCCAATAAAACAGTGGTTCCCAAACTTTTCAGAATCACGTCCCCCTTTCTGATTTTTGAAAAACCCTCATGCCCCCCTCAAAAAAACTTGTTGAACCTCGTGCCCCCCTGGAATTTCTTCATGCCCCCCAGTTTGGGAACCCATGCAATAAAAGATGTTACCCTACCACCCTTGTCTCTTTAAAAGATGCAGACACATTCCTAAAATAATGTATATTCCAAAGAAGAGAGTAAGGAAATCTCCATTTCAGTGTATAATCTATGTTAGACCGTCCATTCAAATTCTGAATTTAACTAAAACAAAGCAAATGAGAATCCCATTCATATGAACTCATATGGAGAAAATTTCTCAGGTCACATCTTTCCTCAGCACATCAACTAAACTATTTTCAGTGTTTTAGACTTGAGGCAGAATACTTGTTTTAGGATAGCAGGATGAATGTTCATGACAACTTTACTCAACCTATATGACAACACAGAAAAAAACGGGGGGAGGGATGTTTTGTGTCTGCAGCATTTTGCTCTCTTGTGACAAATTATCACGAAAGGTCAATAAGCCTTCTGAAGCTAAAATCAGTAGTTTTACGAAAGACGTGGCTCTAACATGGTGTTCTGTCCTTTTCTAAAACAGCTCACTATGAAGAAATCAAACATTAGAAGCTAGGTTATTGTTTTTCCTCGTGGTGCACATTTGCACATGTCTAGATGCACATAACGAAATTCATTCTGCACATGGATGGAAAAGATTAGAGGGAACATTTGTGCAAGAGGTGATGGGGTGCCAAGTGTAGGCTCTGGCCAGGAGGCACTTACCTTAGGTGGCTCCCAGCCAGTAGCCCAGCTGGACCTTCAGCCCCTACACACCACCCAAAGCAGCTGGCTGTGGAGTCCATGTGCATCTCAGTGCACTGTGTGCCCCTGGGAAAGGGCCCTCCGTGCATTGCAAGCATGGCCCATGCAGCTCCCATTGCAAATGAGAGCAGCACGGATGGAACTTCCCCTGGCACTAGGGCAATACAGCATCAGCCCAGCGGTGGTGAGGGAAAATGGCAGCATGAAGGGCCACATCCCCCTTCCCTTGCAAGGCAAGGCCAGAGTGCAGGGGATTTAGTGGCTTCAGCCCAGAATCCCTCACAAAGAGGATCCTACAAAAAGATCTGTACTTTAGGGAGTCCAGAGCTCTTTCTTTCAGGTCCCTCCCCCCTTAGCCCTGGGCTGCAGTCTCTAAAGCCCCTTCCTTAATGCAGCCCTGACACTAGAAAGTCTGGGATGGAGGTGGTTGACCCCCCATAATACAGTGCAGATGGAGCTGCTGGTTGGGACCAACTTGGGTTCAACAGGTCCTGGGGTTACAAATGAGGCAGACACTCAAGCCCTAGGTTAACGAACCCAGGGGCTGCTAACGCCAGCGGGGGCCAGCCTGGCCTCATGCTGCAGCGGAGACATGAGGCTCCCAGTCCCTAGGCGGGTGACGGGTCCCATTCTGGCCACCTGACCACTGAGCCTGTAAGCTCCTAGGGCGAGGGACGTGTCCTGCGCTCGCCGAGCAGCAGGACGGAGGAGAAATTCTCTGCACCAGCCTGCCCGGGGAGAAGGGGCAGGGAAGGGCTCCGGCTCCAGCAACGCCTCAAAGTCTCCTTCTGCCCCCACCTCCCCAGGGCAGTGAGAGCAGCGCCCCCGCTCGCCTCACCCGGCGCCGGCCCGCCAACACGCGCCTCAGCCCGCAGCAGCGGCTGCCACTCACCCGCGCCGCTGGCATCTCCCGGCTCCGCTGCGGCTGCCCCACTCCAAGCGCTGCGGGCCGCTCCCCCCTCTGCCCTGGGCCGGCGGGCGGGCAGCCCAACTCCGCGCAGGGAGCCCGGGAGCAGCTGCTGCCGCCGCGGCGGTCGGAGCGGAGACGGGGGACTTGCCCAGCACAGTGGGCGGGCGCCCCTGCTTTGATGGCAGCTCGGCCGGCCGTGTCCCCGCCTCTCGCGCTCTGCCCTGGCGGAGCAGCCCCCCCGCTCCGCGCGCAGGACAAGCCGCGGGGCTGGTTTGCTGGCGAGGGGGGGGACGAAGCAGCCGGGAGCGAATCGGTTCTGCCTCCATGCGGTGTAAACGCGGGCTCACGTCCTGGCGGAGCCAGAGTGAGCGCGGGCGGACACTGGCCGGGCCCGGGAGCTGGATGCGCCGGGAGCACAACGCTACAAAGCTCCATGATGCTCTCCAAACCGACACGTGCTTAGCTGAGGACCGGTGCACAGCGGTGGAGGCATGGGCAGGATGGTGGCCTCAGGCTATTGCCAATATTGGTGAATGCTGATCTCTACAGGCAACTCTAACTGCCGACGGCCCTAGCTCTTCCGTGCCGTATGTTTCAACTCCGAAATGATCCAGGACGTTTCACCAACTCCAAGCCTTCAAAATCACGAGATATAAGAAATAACGACAATATTATTTTCCAAGGTTTGTGCTTGTGCCTATCTTCATCCTAAAATGTGGTGTCCCCTCGTACTGCAGAAAATTATTTAACAACAAATTCAAAATCACGAAAATTAGATTATAGACAGAGTTCTTTAGAGAGAAGGAAGAAGTCACACATTTTAAGGCTCCTGCATAAATCATTGTTTGATGTCCCTTATTTTGAGTCTCTGTCACTCATTGCAACCAGAGTTGGGCCTTGGATGGTTAAAAGTTATTACAAAATTTTATTATAAAACATTCAAATTCTACAGGGCTTTTGGCAGTTATCAGTATTTTAAGCATTGTATTGTCTACCCTTGCTTGAAACAGATCTACATTACCATGATTAAAATGGTGGCACATGGTCTACTAATACTCCCACACATCTGAACAAGTTCTTTATGGCTCTTGGTGACCTGTTGCACTCTGTATCCTACAACACTACCAATGTTTAACATACAAATAATTTTACTTCCCAATATAGGATCCAGTCAAGTTCCCGCTGAGCCATTTTGCCATCAATTGAATTTTAATATTACATTTTGTCTTAGTAGGGACTGCAGAGTTAAATTCAGTCCCACTGCAGCAATTCTTACACTTCTTTCACACACACACACACACACACACACACACACACACTCACACACTCAATTTCAGCTCCATGCTCACATCTACATTTTTGTCAGTTTGGGTGAGAGAAATCATCACCATGCCACAATATAGAAAAAAAACACTTAAACCTTGAGAGATTTTCATGTTACGAATGGCACATCATATATATAGTAGCCCAGTGTCTGAGAGTCTGTAACGCCAAAATGCAGTGTCCCTCTGGGGGGCGCTGTTGCCTGAAATGCTGGCTGTTCCCTCTGGGAAGCGCTGTTGCCTGAAATGCTGACTGTTCCCTCTGGGGGGAGTGCTGTTGCCGGAAATGCTGGCTATTCCCTCAAGGCGGCCCATGCTACTTGGGGAGGGCGGGGCCCAAACGGCCACTTGCACCGCTTACTCCTCCACAGCGGCCCAGCTGAGCAGCGCAGAAGTCAGCCGAGCGCCACAGTGGGAGGCGAAGGGGAGGCGGGGCAGTGATGTGCGGCGTGACAGTGGCTCCAGGCCCCGCCCCCTGGCCATAAACATCACCCCACTCCCCTTCGCCTCCCGCCGTGGCTCTCGGCTGACTTCTGCGCCGCTCAGCCAGGCTGCCGCATGGAAGGAAGTGGCACAAGCAACCGTTTGGGCTCTGCACCCCCCATGCAGCACAGGGAGTGAGGAGCCGAGTGAGAGAAGTGGAAGAGAGTCAGAGAGAGAGGCAGGAGGTGGAGGAGAACTGAGAGGAGGGGGGAGGAAGTAGGAGGAGGAGGAGAGAGAGAGACACACACAGAATGAGAGACTGGAGACTCAGGAGAGAAGACTGACGTGGAGGAGAGACTTGAAAATCCTGTCTTATGACGGGCTATTTGGCTAGTTATTATATAATAGGCAACTGTAAAAAAGCAACAAGATTTCTAAACCATTTTCCTATCCACAATATTCTGAATTATTTTAAACTCAACTGATCAATTTAATTTTTGTCTCAGGAAGAGACTTAGTGGCCTAATCCTGCATACTTTTGGGTAAGCAATGCTCCCACTGAGATTTAAGTTATTTATTCTAGTTTCAAAACAAGACTGCAAGAAACGCAGTATTTCTCAACTTCTTATTCCTAAAAGCCATTTTTTCATGTGAGATTTAGCTCTTTCTAGTAATCTTATGCTCCCGTGTTTTGTGTGTTCAAGGGGACTGCCAATCTTTAAAAAAAAAAAAAAAAAGTAAAACTACTTAAAACTCCTTTTTTAAATTTTTCAGTCGTAGTTTGCCTTACCATTTATACAGCTTACCAAAATATCTATATTTAATGATTTTTCCTTAACAGTCCTCACATGCATAATTGAAACTTCCATCAAGTCAGAATTGTGATGAATTTTCATATGGTAATTTTCCTGGCAACAGACAAAGTTCAGAATTGAAGGCTCAGACAGAGAAAGTGACAGAGAGAAGTTGTTTGTGAAAGGAAAGGAAATAATATCATAACTGGAAATATCTAAATTACTACAGGCAGTCCTCGACTTACGCGGATCCGACTTATGTCAGATCCGCACTTACGAACGGGGCTTTTCTCGCCCCGGAACTCACGGGCGGCGGGTCGCCACCTGTGTCCTCCGGGGTGAGAAAAGCTTCTCCCGGTCTCCCTGGTCTGCTGGGGGGGTCCAGCAAAGCCACCAGGGACACCCGAGTACCGCCCGTGTGGCTTTGCTCCTTTGCCCCCGAGCAAAGCCGCGCAGGCGGCGGGATGCCGCCTGTGCGGCTTTCCTCCTGTCCCCCTGGTCTGCTGGGGGGGGGGTCCCGCAAAGCCGCTGGACCCCCCCAGCAGACCAGGAACACCCGAGCAAAGCCCGAGCAAAGCCAGGCTTTTGTTGCGGGACGCCTCGGGTAGAGCAGTTGGGGTGCTGCCGGGTTGGTCCTGTAGGAACCTACCGGGCAGCGCCCCAGCTGTTCTGTCCCAGGCTCCAGATTCAGCAGCTGTTGAAACTGATCAGGCTGATTCCAGGAAGCTGGGGGCAGAGCAACTCTGCCTCCAGCTTCCTGTAGTCAGCCCCTGGTCAGTTTCAGTGGCAGCAGCTGAATCTGGAACCAGTTCCGACTTACATACAGATTCAACTTAAGAACAAACCTATAGTCCCTATCTTGTACGTAACCCGGGGACTGCCTGTATCAGTTTCTTGTTCCCATTAAAACTCTTTGTCAAGTGTACCATGGAATTAAAGTCTCTTTTTGGAACATCACCACGAAAAGTCAGTCACTTCTGTTTCTGCTTGTCCATAGATATTTTACTAAACTCCTGCTGTGCAAACTAATCCTAATTTTGTAGAGAAAATGGATTTTCCCTCTTATCTTTGGTAGTAGTCACGCAACACTTTTAAATACTGTCCATTACTCCTCTTCAGTACATGATTCTATACACCATACAATATTGCAATCAAATGCTGGACCATATTTCAAAGGGAATCCAGTGAAAACCTAACTGTGGCCTTAGACATTTTAACTAATGTGCTGAGGTTAAACTTAAAGCAAGGAGACTGTGGAATTTGAGGATAAAATTTTTCAATAGGAAAAGCTACAAATATCACAAAGCCAAACAAGTGGTCCACTATTTGAAAATATCACTTACTCCCAAAATACATTCCCTTAAATCTCTTGTAATAAAAATGGTACACCCAGACATAAAACATCTAGCCAAAGAGAACAGCTTACTAGCTGGATGGTTCTCACATAATTCATAGCAAAGTCAATTACAGTGCTGGCATTAAATTGTCATAACTAGATTCATATTTAATATCTCAATAAGAGAAGTGAGAGGCATTCAAACTTTTGAATCCAGTTATTAGGGAGGTTGGCTGCAGGAACACAGACTTCAGTTCCACATCTTATATAGTGAGTATTTCTATTAAGACAGCAAGAATTACTTACTGATTTAAATCTTAAAGTAGGATGTAGTATACTGTTAGCATTGTTTGTGCCCTATCACTCCCTCAACCAAAGCCTACATTTGAATTTCCAAGTAGCTCGTCACAAACCATGTTAGCTTTGCTCAAAGTCAATCTATTTCACTGACTGTAAATTTTTTAAAGCAAGTGCGTGTGTGTGCAGTGTTACAGGCATGACCGAAGTCCCAATGCTGGCTCCCATGCTAAATTTCTTTAGTATACACAAAAAACTGTGTTTGGTAAAACACCTTTCATAAAAATTTGAAAAGTCAGATTCTCAGCTAGTGTAAAATCATGACATTCCATTGAAATAAATGTCAATTAACACCAACTAAGGATCTGGCCCATGTATTTTTAAGGTTAGAAGGGCCTTTATGATGATCTGAACAGCTGCATAATGCAGGCCATGAAATTACTGGGTGATAACTTTATCTCAAAGTCCAATCATTTGACTAAGACTGCCTAAAACTGAGTGAGTAAATCTTGTTGAAACTCTAATAAATTCTAGTTTCTTGTACATTACTCAAAAGGACATTTTAGTTTACATGAAAATTTAAGCCTACAAGAATTATAACTACAAACAGCAGCCCTTAGGGCCAAACTACTTCCTTCTCCATCTTAACAGTGACTCATGCAACATTTTAGGAAAGCTTATTCAGAGCAGACTTTGGCAAAATCAGTTTTATGAATTTGGAACACAGAAGCTATCACTTGACCCTACTATTAGTAAGCCTGGGCATGAGATGCATGGAATCTTTCCTAATACTCTTATTTAGCATGGTTTATTGTTTTTTGGGGGTTTTTTTTTTTGCATTAAAATAGTGGTTACTTGATGAAATTCGAAGAGACAGAAGTGTTCAATACGCTAGTTGGAATACCATAGTGAGCAACAAGGATTGAACAATTCCTCGGGTTTTTGGCATAAGATGACAAAGTGATTCCAATCAATAAATCTGCCATTTGTTATTAATGATGGATTATGCTATAAGTGACTTCATTGCTTTCTTCAATAATGTGGAAATCCCTTATGCATTTAGGTCATGATATTTAAGTTCAGATTTCAAACTGAGTTCCAGCTGTGAGTTTTTTAGGGAAGGGACTATGTTATTTATTGGAAAGGGTCAAGCACATTATGAATGCTACTGTAATTAAATAATTTAAAAATTATCAAGGCCATATCAAGTCGAATAGATTAACATAATTACCACATTGTTAGCACAACCAGAAACATTTAGTTGTGACAAAGACCAGATGCATTTTTTTTTTTTCAAAACAGAAGAATTCTAATTTCAAAGGTGCCAAAGGAAATAGTATAGGTTGTACCTTCCTAAGCTGGAACTCTCTGGTTGGATGTTGCTGGACCAGAGGAACCCAGGGATAGGGAGGCCTGGCTGGAAGACCAGGAACACAGCAGGGGGGGCTGGCGCTCCAGCTCCGCAGAGCTCTGGCCCTGGAGGCAGTTGATGGTACAGCAGGAAGCTCTGGTACCAGTAGCAATGGATCTGGCCTCACAGAGGGGAACTCCAGCCCTAGCCATCAAGAACCTTCAGCCTCGGCCGTGAAGCAAGGAGCTCCAACTCTGGGGAGTCCCTGCCTGGCCAGCAGCAGTGGGACTGGGGCTGCAGCCCCCCAGCGGCGAGTCCAGAGCTGAGGGCAGCAAGGTCAGGTGCAGGCTGGAAGCAGCCAGCAGTAGGGCGGGCCAGAGGCTAAGATGCTTATGACAGAGGACCTCATTTGGGACCGGTCAGATCCAATCTGTATACTCCCCAACATGAAAATGTTTATAGAATATTTGGGAGAAAAGGGGTGCTAAGCCAAATCAAAAGACTTTTAGAGACTTAAGAGATAGATGTAGAACTCTGACAAGAACAATGTGGGAACTTTTAATAATGCTTACTCAGGACTAGGGATGTGATAGTATAAACTGTTAACTGATGAGCCTGGGCTCATCGGTTAACCTTCATGGTTACATGCAGTCCCCACCCTCTCGCTTTTGCTGCCTCCGCATCAGTTTACATGAAAATTTATCAAAAACAGCAACAGGGGTGGAGGGGAGGCAGCGCATTGCCTGTAGCAATCCTGCTTAAAAACCAGCTCTCAGCCCACACTGGCTCCTGGAGAGCCATCTCCCCCACATGAAAGTTTTATCAGTACACATAAACCTAAATAAAGCTTTTTAACATCCCTACTCAGGACCATGTTAGGCAGTATAAATATCCGAATGTATATGTACGGACATTAAAACAATATATTTGGTAATAGTTTTGAAG